ATTGAGCACGTCGATGTTGCCTACTTAGAGGAACCTCTCGGGTACTGGTTTATTTGCCAGCGTAGCTATCTCAGTTAGCAATAAGGAGTGTTATTCTTACATCCGACACTATAACTCGTGAACTCAGAAATGGATGTATTTCAGCATAACGTAAGTTGAAAAATGAACTGCTTATTTAGTGGAATTATCTTGCTCTAATTCCTTATTAAAGTCTTGCGCATTACTGCCAATAATCAATTATTTTTCTAATTTCGCAAATCCAAGCATATAAAAAAGTGTTTTTTTTCCACATAATAACCTTATGGATTACTTTTGTAAATAATAACAACCGTACATTTAGTTAAATTCACCACCTTTCCGACAACATATCCCTTATGATTTTATCAAGTTAACCAAGAACCTACAAGGTCGTCGCATTTGCAAAATAAGGATATGAGTCTCAACTCCCTTAGAATTTTTTTATTAATTTTTATAAATCTAATAAGGACAGGAGGAAATAATATCAGGAAATGTTGGAAGTAACAAGCCTATTTGCTACCTTTGTGGACGAAAATTGCGTTGCAGTCTCCCCGTTATTTCCAACCCATCTTTTGGCAATATAGAAGGTGTAGCGGATTGCTACGATAGTAAAGCCTGACTGACTCAGAAATCTCCATGGCAGATCCTCCAACATCTAGCTAGACTCCCAGAACTAGCTAAGCTATAGTCCAGCTATAAAGGAAACAGACGTGTAGCACGGAGCACGCCTATTCAGTACGGGTATTGCGGATAAAGTGTACACGCAGGGAGCTACTTATGATCAGGATGGGGGATTAGGTTAAACAGAGGTTAATGATTGGTCACTGTTTGTACGGTCGATGCACACAGAGTTGTACGGCCGCACCTCCCAATCCTGGTGAGCAGACATGCAGGCATACGATGACGCACGCAGCGATAACATATCTCACAAAGGGGAGTCCTCATTTCTTAAATAGAATTTTACTATCAGCTAAACTCAGGCAGTAATAATTAAAGATTAAAAATTAAAACTAAATTAAGCTGATTTCTTTAATTTATATACTTTTAATTCATCGAAGCGTGTAAACTTAAGTAGGAAATAATTAAAAAGGCCTTCAAGGTAGTGCCAATATTTGTTTACTTTACTATTTACTTTCCATTATTTATCTTTCAAAGTGAATTACATAATTACTTGATTAATGAATCATAATTACTGCTTTTAGACTATTCCTTAATTGTTACTTTAAATTCGCTACTGCTTTTCCCATCTTAGATTTATCACAACAAGTTGTTGAAATTAAATGAAGCAGGAGGATAGTTATCAATACATTTATCACGATTCATCAAATTACTTGAAATGCCAAAACCGAAGGAGATTGGAGCGTATAAAAGAGATTATTGCAGGTCTAGGGCTCATAAAGAAAAATGAGCTATAATTAATATGGTAAAGCCGAAGAATTATGCTTAACATCACACAATATTCAGGAATCAAATGCGTGTAATGCCGTGGAATTGGTACTCTCGTCTGGAAGTCGCGTAACTTCTGATTAGTGAACACCAGTTCATAATTCCTGTTCGCTTCAATGATCCTTGATTTGACCTTGTTACTCCGCTGTATCGATCTATCTCCATAAAAGTTTCCCAATTTTTATTCTCTCACTTTCCACAATTATTAGCAATACTATATCTGCTATCCATCATATCTCGAGCCAACGCTATTTATAAAATGATCACGCATTATCCATTACACCCGCGTCCCCAATTCATTTTTAACATTACTAAGCTTTTGCTTATCGAATTAGGACTCAGGGAAGAATAGTAACCTAACTCTCATAGTCGGAGTCAGCCACAGTTCCTCGATGACTATTTATATATATTAACCAGTTTCTCTAGTGCATTTTATAGAAGTTCGTGAAAATAGTAGCACTTGGTAAGTTTGCTTTACTCCAAATATATGACTTCCACACCAAAATCACTTTCAGTAATGCATCTATGGAAAAAACCATCTAAATCATAGAAGACGCGCACGGATTAAGGGAAAATACTTTATTTAGATAGGTACATTACAATTCTAACGACGCAACTTAATTTAATTTTATAATTGTTCGTTATATCGGTGAATATACCTCGAGCGTAATCTTTTTCAAAAGAATTTCTCACTACTCTTGTTCTGAAATTATTTCCACAGATAACGCTAGCACTGAGAGACCAATTTTTGACATAATCTGCCATTCGATAAGTAATGAAGTCAAATTTGCTAGAAAATAAGGGGTTTGTTAGATAAATTGTTATTAAACGGACCTCTTGAGTGATATTTGTTCCGAATCTTTCCTACTCCTTGGAGCAGCACTAAAGTTAGTTACCCGAGCAAAGAAACCTCCTGTTTGTGGTGGTAACTGAAGACATATATTATTAAATAGCTTCCCAGTGGTTCCGAGATCCCAGACTGAACCAATTGGCGTCGGATTTATGATCGCCCTATATGATCCTATTTCCTTCTCAGTTGAATTGGTGATATCAAAAACATCCATTTTTATATCGAATGTACGTTTTTGTGTAATACAGCCATTGGCTGTATAAAGTAGCAGCGCAAATATCAAACTGTTGGCAATCATTTCTCCAAACTCCCCAAAAGCTCCCAAAGCTTATATTAATATCGTAGCTTCGTTTACTTTATCATAATGTGTAAATAGTGCATTTTATTCCTCTTTTTATGCACTGAAGACATGCTCCTTAGTAAATCTTAGAAGGCAAATATGCTCAAAAAGGTTAGTCAAGCGAAGCCATGAGTGTTAATTTAAAGCTAGCCAGAATATTTAGCATATAATGGTGTAACAGAATTCTCTATCGGCAAACTCCATATACGAGGGTAAAAATAAAGAAAATTTTCCTTTGACGAAAGGAGGTTTTTACAGTATTTTCCATCCGCTTCGTCGTATTAACAACCGTTAACATTAGGGTATAGTGAGGTTTGATTGGCTATGCATTTTGTTACAGAGTTAGTGAAAGAAGAGCCGAATTTTAAATGACGATATCCTATCACCTTTTAGTTTGCTATTCTTTTAATATTAAGGTGGTGGTCCTTAAGGCGAATAAGTAAATATGCCCTTTTTATTTGGATGAGTATTAGAATGGATCTATTAATAGTGTAAACAAATAACAACAATAAACCAAAAATATCAAACTCCATTTCGATTTTTCAAATAAGTTGCCTTCATAGATAAGTTCATTTCAACTTAAATCTTTCAACTATTCCAATTTTTAAATAATCTAAGAGAAAACAAAAAATATTTTGCTATTCAGAACAGAGAATTTCACCTAATAACTTCACCCTCAAACATTAAATTGTGTTCTAATAAGCGTATTGAACTTAACAGGCTATATTCATTAAGATTGACAATAAGTTCTTAGCTAAAGTATCCTCAGACGGTCTTGTAGTCTTCATTCCTCAAAAAAGTATGGTCCCTTCAGGACACCTACCACCTGATCTAGGAAATTAGTGACCTGACTCATTAAAATTATGTAGCTAGTGTGAACCTTAATCCATAGAATTAAATGTGGACGGACATTTTGATTAAATGAGTAAAGAAATAAAGGGATACCGATAATAAAGTTATTTGGAGTCGGAGAATATTGATATAATGGTTTGAATCACAAAAGAAACAGTATTTTGTTAGACGTAGGTGATCTCTCATCGATAAAAACTCAGCGCGAACTTTGACATCTGTTCAACCAATGATGCGTAAATAGGTAGTCATACAGCTGAACCGAATGTGAATAGTGTAGATGAGATATATTTTGCTTCTTTTAGCATAGTCTTCAAAGAGGATACTGTTTATATACGTAAAGCAGTAATAACTATGCATTTTTAAATAAGGATAAAAGGATAATGCAACTTCATACATTAAATAAGTGATGAAATAACTGCTATTATGATAGGAGAATACAATAGCATTTGTGCCTCTCATATTCTATTCAGCTGAAAGCTATGTTGAAATTAGATGTCATACGTGCTCAAATTGCTTGATAAATGGGTAGTCAATTCAACACAGTAGCCAATTACTGCTCGTTACATAGTAAACGTCGATCTATTTGCTTCAGACTAATTGAATGAATTCTTAAGACATGATAAATCAAATCAATTTCCAATTAAAGCATTTGGATTTGTGAGTCAACAGCAGCTCATTGGTTTGAAAGAGGCCACGCTCCTGATATTTAACTTCTTGAAAGTTCTGGAGATGATCTGGACTTCCCGAATGGTCAAGTTGATAATTGTCCTTATCACCATTACATTTCAGTTTCATGGACCATGCGCACTTACTAACATCGGAAAGATAAGTTTTGTTCAGAATTGGGCCCAAAGAACAGAGAAAAAGAATGAATTTAATTCAACGGACTGTCGGTAATTTCGAAGCAAGCCTGGCGGATTTGATTATTACATTAACTAAAGGCTTGTATTTCATGCTGAAAATAATATCAACCGCCGCACAAGAGTTTTTTATTGGGTTTATTATTAGTTGACTAGGTGATTACCTCCACTTGAATATCATCCTCGATAAAAATCATCTTGGTTCTCTTAAATCATAACGCCCCATTAAATATGCCATTAATTTAATAAAATCTGAAAATCGGGAAAATTCGTCAATCCAGCAGTTTAAAGGGTATTAAATGCCTTAATTTCATGCTAAACGAACTATCTATCAAAACATAAGTACTACCAGTTGTTGGATGCTTAACGGTATAATTTAACAAATAATTTTATAAAAATGGCAGCCTTGCGTTTAAATAATTTGAATTACCACTTTCACTTATATTTAACCCTTAAAATAATACATAGCTAAAGTGCATTGTTTATTTTTATCGCACAATACCAAATCAAGGTCGATTTAATTTGTCTTCCTATTTTAAGTGAGCGGCGAGCAGTTTTTGATTTTCATTTTTTTAGTCAAATCTATTGTTGCTTTATATTTCATGAATAAGTTATAATATATTACCTTTTAAGTATGCCAGAAATCGTCTGTGGTCGAATCGGTTGTCGTTTTCCCATTAAGTCAGACAGAATAATCTGCTCCCTCTGTTCTGCGAATTTCCATCCAAGTTGCTCTAATTTAACACCAGAAGAATTTGGCAAAGAGTCTAATTCGGGCAACTGGAGGTGTTCAAAATGTCCCTGTTCTACATATGCTAATAGTAGTAATGATGCATCACCAAAGCGTGTCATTGCAGATTCCATCTTCCCAATTTCTTATGTCACAGGGAATCCGAATAAACTTCGTGAAACAATAGCGGTTCTTGGTAATGAGTATGCTCAACTTGTAGGTTTCATTTCGTTCGAATGCTTTTATGATGCAGTGGTTGTTTAGAACTCTTAATTTTTAATCCGATTTTTCAGATCAAGCAGCATGATGCTGACCTCCCAGAGTATCAGGGTAGCAGTCCCGAAGAAATTGCAGTTCTGAAATGTCGACATGCCGCAAATTTAGTTGACGGTCCTGTGCTGATTGAAGACACGTGCCTTGCCTTTGATGCCTTGAAAGGCCTTCCTGGTCCTTATATTAAATGGTTTATCAAAGCCGTTGGACCTGACGGTAATTCTAAAGGGCTAAATTTACTCACATGTTTCGGACAAGGGGGACTTTAAGTTTCTGTTTTGCCTTCTAGGTCTAAACAAAATGCTTGAGGGTTTCAGAGATGGTATGCCAGGTGGTGACTATGCTTCGGCTATTTGCACTTTCGCCTACACCTCGGGCCGTGGGCCCGAAGCAGAAGTTAAGGTATTGCAGGGAATTACTCGTGGTCGTATTGTGAAACCCCGGGGTAAATCGGGTTTCGGCTTTGACCCCTGTTTTGAACCTCTCGATTCACAAGGGCTGACCTATGCTGAATTAGGATCTGAGGAGAAAAATAGAATTTCACATCGGTTTAAAGCTGTGGAGAAGTTAAAAGTGCTTTTGAACGAGCTTTCCGAGACGAGATGAATTTTGCCCTTGTATTTCTCTTCTGATTTTACAGCTTTTGTGTCAATAGAAACCATTGTTGAAGCAGTGTTTTCTTTGTTAATAATTGGAGTGAGAAATAACTTATCTGGAGCCTCGTTTACTAAGCATTCCCTATCTTATCCAATTATTTGCTTAATGTGATATTGTACTGTTTTTTCGAGAATGGTAATTACTTTCGTTTTTAGTTTTATCTCGTCTGAAAATAGTTTGTTGTTTGTCTACCCTGCAATTTTAATGGAATTAAGCAATGTAGCTTCGCTTTGAATGAACTCCTTGTTTTTAAATTTGTTCCTGAATTTGCAACTTAATCGAGGTGGTTCGTTAGTTATTCCTAACTTCTTTGGACAGGAGCCCGTATCCACGTTCCTTCGCTTTTAAGTATGGAGTTATGTTTATTGAACCTAAGGTCATTATCAAATAAAATATTTAAATCAACATTTTTCCTCCAATAAACCGTTATTATTCATCCTTCCATTATGAATTATTGAATTTTCTTATTTTTCTCGGGGTCATCCGCAAAACGATGAGTGCTACAAGTCTATTAGACGGAGATATCGTAAACAATAAAAGGGTATCGGTCTTTTGATTATTATCTTTCTATCAATATGCTGAGGAATTGCTAATTAACCTCTATTCTACCTTAGGAAAACCATGCAATTAATCTTTACGACAAATTTCAAGCATAATAAGCACTAGATTTTACGTAGAATATTTCTGTACTCTTCCTGGACTTATTTAATAATCCAATTAGATTTCGAGATAATGGGATACTGTATGTTTCGTAGAACACTCAGTAATCAAGTAATAACTAATTATTAAGTCAATAGCATTAGCTAGGCACTATATTTAACTTAGCTTTAAAATATTGTAAAAACTATTAAGTGGCCTACTAAAATGCATTGAATTGGATTAAACAGAGCGAGCTTATTTTCATTCGTTTTATCGTTTTCAGAGTGCATGAGAAATCAAACTCTGTTGCTGGAGTCATTTCAATCCCTTTACGTAGTACGTTACTCTCTTCCATAATGAATGCTGACCTTCCCATGAAGTAAAGGAAAGCCTGCGAATGCGTAATTAAATTATTAGTTTTAAGAAGAATCGTTTACAGGCCTTCGTGGTCACTAACTTGGACACTCCCGGTGAATTTATTTTCCACAATGACATCGCAGTCAAATTATGTGTTTTTAACAAATATCAAAATTACTAGTGAATGATAGCTGGCAACCACATCCAAACAGACTTCTCAAATAGTTTGAAACACCATCACTAAGATTAATTTCGAATAGCAATTCAATGAGACAATTGTCCGAATGGGCAGTGTACTATTTAGAGATACATTTGAGAATTTTTCTTGATAATTATTTAAAAGATAAATCTTAATATGTTCTAAAAGAAATCATGATGATTTAATTTGCCTTCAATATTTCTTCCACAAATAAAGAAACGATATCCTACTAATTGAGCTTATGCATAATGAGTTTTACTATCGACAGTACGCATTCATTCCCCATAACGTACCTTGTGTCCTATTATAAGTTTCGGCCACATTGTTGAAGAGGTATATTATTGGCTTTTCTAAAATCATTTGTTCAGTGAGAATACTAAAAGGGCTTCTAGTTTATTTATCAAATAAATATAACAGTTGATCTTCAGTGAAAGCGGACCCATTGACATATCAAAGCAATAGAAATACAAGTGTCAATTGGTTCCAATTTCTTCATAAATGCATCTATGATAGCATACATTTTTCTTCGTATAATAATCTAAACAATTTCTGCGTTACTATGAGGTGCAGGAAAAGGTGCAGGGGAATCCTTGTTTATTATTGTAACTTGAACACTAATAGGCATTTTAAATAAATTTTATATACGTTTATGTTTAATCCATTGTTAATGACTGAAATATATTTATAAAATAAACTTAAAGAAAACAATCAAAGGAAGTTTCAATCTTGTGTTAATTTAGTTAAACCTACAATTAATTGAGTATTTATATACAAAATGTGTAGTTATCTCCAACCTATAAAAGTGTTAAAGAACATAATCATTTCATCTTTTATTACCATGTAAACATTATTTAAGACTTCAAATTCGTCAATTATAGTTGTCGACGTCCACTCTTATCAATTATTATCACCAGATTTTGAATGACATCTACAATCTGAAAAAATATAAGATCAAACTCTGTCGGCGTTAAATCAAGTTTCCATTTGCATATTATGTAAATAGAAACGATTGTGTAGGGTTGCGTTAAATAATTTATTTAATTGGAACGGATAAAGCAATGAATATATCATTAACTAATTCAACAGTTAGATTGTATTTAGAATTACACTGAAAACAGAAAGACAAAGGAATATGAATGAAAAGATGCTCTTACCAAACTGATAGATTTTTATCTGACAGCCCAAATTTCCAAATTTTTGCATGTAAATTGTCTTCCTTCAAGCCATCTAAAATTTTTTGGCTACATTTAATGCTCCATAGCATGATAGCGTCATTCATATTAGATGCGTTACGAATAAATAAAAAATTTCAGTCTCTTTAATGGAACAAGATTAGCCCCAATACAGCATACTTTTTTGCTCGCCTTATATAGATCATTAATCATTCCAACTTATTTTGATAAGGGCTTTGACAATTTTGCCAACTAAGAACATTAAAAGTTTTACAAAATTGATAGCAGCTTTACCATTAAAGTGACTTTTTCACTTATCTTTTATAGATTTGATGCAAGTTCTGAAATAACATTAAAAGTTAACTAGAGTTAACATGGAGAAATGTTCAATAAAATTTTTATTTAAACACCAAATGTGGAAATTATATAGCTAACCTAGATTTGATGCTTCTAAAATTACAGAGCCAGTAAATACAAGGTATTAAGAATATAACGGAATTTATTTAAAAGCCGATTTTGCCTTTTATAATGAAATAAATAGAAAATTTTTGGCATGTATTTTTAAATTATCATTATAGAATAACATAAATTGCATTAAAAGAGTATATTTATATTTAATAATCATACTTTGTATTAAAATAAAACATTCTCAAACTATAAATTCAATTTTGAAGTATGTATTTGTTTTACGTTCCTCATTTATGGTCACGCTTTTGAGTGCGTCTGAATGCTATTTTCGCTAATCTATGGATGTAAGCCTTGTTCTTGTCTGACTTCTATTGCAAAATTTCAATCCAATGTACTTTATCATCTACGTTAAACGTTTGATTAAATTTATACTCAAATATTTCCTGTTAATACTGGGGCAATTTAAAATTTACATGTATTTTTTCTTGTTATGAATACTTATTGTTCTATTGTGTTACTTTTTGCAGATGACTATTAATTTTATGCGAACCTAAGCTCTCCTTTATGATAGTATTTTTTATGTGTTTCTCTTTAATTTGATTTTAGTGTTTTTACTCGTTACAATATGATTACCTAACCAGTTTAGATTATAATACGCTAATAGCGCAAATCCCTCGACTATCTCTGATACATTCCTTTTACTCAGTTTTTCTGCGTTTCCTATGTTATACATGCGTAATTTATTAATTTTAGATGCCATATAGGACGTTTCCCCCGTCTAATCCGTCAAATTCCTCAAGAAAACGTGTCAATGTAACCTTCCGATCTAATCCCTCTCCAATTGTGGAAAGCGGTAAACCGTCTTCACGACGCAGTAGCACGGTTTCAAATCCCTCATCAACTTCTTCGGGGAGCAGAACTAATTCGGCTCCTAAGTCAAGTGCGTCAGCCCATATTATCGCACCAAAATTTAAAAGAGTAAGTTGGTCAATTTGCCTTTGTTTAATTTTTATGTTTATAGTACTGGAATTTTTATTAATTTTTCTTGGTTGATGAACTTTTCTTATTTATATTGCAATAGTGAGTTTTGTTTGCCTGTTTTTGTTTTTTCGCCATTTACTATTGGACTTAAGTCAGGCTGAAGCTGGTCCTACAATCTTAATTCGAACGTTACTAAGCATTTTGGAGTCCCTTGTTCAACTGTTCTGCTGTGTTCGCTGTTTGTTAAAGGGGGTTTTAATCTACTGTCTACACTACTTAAGTTTTATGATAGAGTGTACCTCTGGTGTAGTTCCTTTCGGGGAGATTTTTTTTATTGGTCTGACTACTCATTCGGATTTCATTTTGATAATTTTCTTAAGAAAATATAATTAATTGAAATTGTTACTTGTTCAAAGAAATTGGGATATGTTTTTTGGATTACAATTTTTTGAGTCTATCCTCTACCTCTATTCCCTTCTTCAAATTTCGGGACGTATGAGTATGTTAATCCTTATTGTGCTCAGCCTTGATAGAATATATCAAACGACAATTGCACTTACTTTCTAACTTTTGCGTTATTTTCCATTTCAATGCAAAAAATAATACTGAAGTGTTGGCATGATAAGTTACTGGGTTACCAAAGTGAGGACGTCTTGAAAATTAAAATCTTTCCTTTAAACTCTGGCTCTCTAATAAAAGTATAGGTTTATACTTTATGCTTTAAAACGATCAACTCTTTATTCAGGTGGAATATGCCAGTTCTCTATGGCGTCTTTCTGAATCTGCAGATAGTTACGTGAGTCTGCACGCACTCCAAAATATTCAGCTGTTGTACCTCTTTCTCTGTTGTCTCCTCCTTGCCCAATTTTATGATTATCGATTGGTCAGCCTTAGGATGTGCTTTAGCATGTTGCTGGGCATGATATTACTCATCCAAATTTCTCCCTCTGAATTCCGTTGTGATTAGCGTGTAGTGCTCTTCTACCTACAACTTCTTCCTTCTCTTTATTAATCCCTCATGTTGGATTTCAGCAGCGGGGCACTCAGCGCAAGACCAACACCAATCAACGTGGCCCAAGGCCCGGTTCGAGCCAGTCACAAACGAAAACGACTCCCTCACCCCCACCACTTTCAACCAGTGAAAACTCTGACCTGGATCCCTACGCTTTTGTAGAAGATGAAGAGGTAACAAGGAAGGAGGAAGAGAAAGAAGAATCAGCTCCCAAACTCTCAGAATTTGCCTTCACAGAGGAGGAGGAAGAGGATGACGGAATTAAGCCCTGGTTCTGGACGCCAGCTAGGGAGGTTCCTAAGCAAACTCAGCCAGCTCCACAGATGGCGCAACCTCAGAAATCTATTTCCTCACCCAACCTCAGGAGCGGTGAATTTAAGACGAATGGTACCACAGCAATCCAGGTCGAAAATGATGCTGAAAATGTGCGTTTAAATCTCTATATTTTGAACTCAACCTTTTATTGCTATGTAATGTTATCGAATTTAACAAGAGCATTAAGTGCCATTAACTTAAGACTTTTTGGCTTTTATCTAACTTTTGAATACTAAGAGTGCTTCGATAATGCAGTAGCCAATGTACACGCCTTCTAAGTTGGAGACCACTAGATCACAATGTCCGTTGGTGCACATGCAGTGGTGTGTTGTGACCAACTGCCCTTTTTTTACTTCTGATTAGACAGAGTGGTCAAATGTGAGTTCGTTATAAGAGCTGCTCCTTTCTACCTTCCCATTAGCCAAATGGAAGTGCTGTAAGCACTGCCTTCTATGGATTTAGGAATTCAACAGAAGAATAATTGATAAGGCGTTTCTCATCAAGTTGCTCTGGAGGGTATCTTTCTAATATCTAATTTGGGTGCTAGTAGAATCTCTTTTTCAAAGTGTTTATGATTTATAATAGCCATTATAGTCTTGTATTACAGGTGAGTTGTAGAAGGATTGTTTGTCGCTAACACTAAGAAATGAGTTTGCGGCTTCCTTGTTAATTTGCGAGTTGGATCGATCGTTTACCTGGTAGTCTTGTTCCACACTAAGCGATATAAAGCATTAAAAATAAAATCGGCTTAGGAATTTCTTATCATCCTGTCTCAGCAAGTCTAAGGTAAAGTGATCTTAGTTTAAATGTTGTGTAGTCTGGAACGAATGGTACCTGGAATGTAACTTTATGCCTTGTATTCATTTTAAACCAATTTTTATAATTTACAAAACATTCAACATACAAAACATCAAATAATGCTCTTTTTTCTCAGTATAGGTGTTGATGTATACTTTCCTTTTATCAGTTTCTTCGAACTAGAAAAGGGACTACCAACTGCGCATGCTACTAAATTATAGGGCTCTAGTCTGGTGTATTGGTGGTATATGGCATTAGTTTCCATAGAATTTATTAATAATTGTTTTCTTTTGGATGGGTTTTCTTGAGTTCGATTTCAATCCGTCTATTTGGGTATTAGTGACTTTCCTGGGGTAGAACTGTGATACAGATACAGATTATTTCACATTCTCAAGTGTTGTATGTAACGTGCTTGTATGAGAGGGTAAATGTTATTGGTTTGGTGCCCATCGGTGCACGCCCATAGGGTGAAAGGGCCAGTTACATTGTTAAAGAGGTTAAAAATTTTCGAGTTTCTTATCAGGAGCACTTCGTGATGTTCAAGTAGAGTATTGGAAATTACGCTTTAGTAAACTGGCACACTAATAGGATTGTGTTGGAATGGTGCGAAAAGCCTATTGTTTCAAGACATTGTTGGTTCTTGTGTCGTCATTATGGAAAACCTTTGGTCAAATGATTGGCCAAATCACTCGATTAGTTGGTGGATTAAAGCCCGGTCATTACCTCTTATCGAAGCTAATCTCCAGCCTTTTATTTGAGTCCGACGTTAATTCAACTGTTAACTCGTGGAAGTTTGTACTCGAAGGAGCATTGCTTTCGATGTCTCGAATACTTCGGAAGATGAGGTAATTTGAATGTTTTGTTAGGGGATTTACATTACAATCGTCTGCCTAGCAGTGGTGGTTTTAGGTTTTTCAAATTTTTGAATCGCTGAAAATTAGTCTCATTCCACTAAGCATCGTCAAGTGAAGCAGTGATAAAATTTCCTATTGTCTACAGTTATTTCTTCTCATCGAGATTGGTACATAATTTTAATGAACCCATTGTGACAATTGCACTTTATCAATTTTGAAAATTCGTTCGTTTTTTTCTCATTGAAACCAGCTGATAAGGTTTCTTCCTTTGCGAATTGAGTTCTAGGAGGTTTACATATTTGCATTTTTTAATCAGAATAAACTTTTGGTTTTATGGAACTCATCTGACAAAATTATGTCTACTTTTTTATTTTACTTTATAATCATGATATTATTTAGGGTCTAATAGCATAATTTTTATATTATCGATCGCATTAAGTGTTATAGAAATTTTTATTTAATAGTTTTTTGGTTCTTCTATCTTCAAATTTCATTTATTTTAATTGTATCTTCGAATCTACATTAAAGAAATGTGTGTGGGGGGGAGGCGGTTAATTGAAGTAATTACAAAGGTCTTTAATAGGAGCACACATTCTACCTTCTAATTGGTCAGTACGGTTGACCAACCATTTCATTTAATTATCCAGACGTAAGTACTGATTGTTTAGCCAGACTGGGAAGCAGATTCCCCAAGTGCTCTTAATTGCTAAATTTCCATTCTACCTCGCCCCTGCGTACTTGTGTAGTTGTGGTTTATCAAGGAATTGCTGTTCTGATACTATCTTGTGCACTGAGAGTGGGGATCAATATGTTCGTGTACAAGGTGAAAGATCATTCATTCGATAGTTATCGACGCACATCAAGTAATTTGCATGACCAGCGCCATTGAATAATAGTTCATTTTCCCGGTCAATGGGGCTCCAGAATGTTACCGCTTTCCTCAAAACGGGTGTTGGAAAGCAATCTTACCAAATAAAGCCCTGCAGTATGGTTATAATCCCAATTAACATTAGTTCTTTTTCAGGTATTAACAGACAAATCCAAACATGACACTCAAGTACAGAACAGTCTCCAACAGGCTTTGAGTGAGCTAGACTACCTCACAAGTGGAATGAATGATGCTAATTCTGTTGATGCTCGGTGTCATAAGTAAGTTTTATTCTACTAAGCGACATTTTATAATTTCAACTCTCAATTTGGTAGATGGCTCTGCTGTTTTCAGTTAAGTTTGGGTCACCTTTGATGCTTATTGAGTTGATAGCTAAATTATTGACTACTATAGATCTAGGTATGAGGAAGCGAACAGAAATTGGAATGCTATTGAAAGTGATCTATTTAGTAAGCCTAACCACTTTAGCAAATGTTGAGAAGGAGCACCAGCAGCTAAAAGCCTGATTTTTGACCCTGTCTATTTTGAAGGCTGTTTTCTTCATCGTGGGGGAGAGAAAGCTGTTGCAACTAGAGGTTTGCTTACACTTTACCAATAGAAGTCTTCTTTATGAGGAAGGAGACCAGCAGACATTGTCCATAGGTACTATGAGTGTATTGGATGTGGTTTGGATTTAGATAAAGGGTATATACAATTTTCAATGGCGACCAATAGTTGCGTTGATGCTTGCAATTCGATTGGTGTTGATAGTCGATCTAGTCAGTGATTGGTCTTGATCACTCTCACGCTTGCTATGCAGTCATCAATATAAATGGGTCAGTTATATATTAAGATAACGACATGCACGTAGGTTCTATAGGGTATGCTTTATTGTATCACCTTTGAGTTGAACTAAACACGCATAAGTCATTTTAATCACAAAACAGTACTGAGATAGAATTGGAATCTCCTCCAGTTAACCGGATATTAGTGATATTTGTATTAATTGTAGAATTCTTACCCTGGCCCAAAAATGTCTCTCCCCGGCTAAACGCGATCTTATTCACGCATACAAACTTCTCAGTGGCATTTGTACCAAACTTCAAGACGCTCCAAATAATTATGTAAGCCTGTTAATGCATTATATAATATACTCACTGGTTTTATTACGTGGATGCTAGATTGGAGTATGAAGTTACCTTGTCGAGAGAAAAGGTCTTTTTTGGTTCTTTTGACCCGGAGGCTCATATTCAATCACAATTATAAAAAAAAATTGAGTGACTATTTCTTCGATATTGCAGATGTTCATCTACTGCTTGGCATTCATTAAAATTCCAAGCTTTCAGTGCCTTGTATTTCTAGATACTAATTAACTATCCCTTTCCCTTCCAAAAATATACTGGAGGGCATGTTCCACTGCAAGGTTACCAATCTTAACAACTACTTGGAGTCCGGTTTATAAAATGCCATTAGTTACAATTCCATACAAGTTATTGCATGTAGAAGAAGTGTCTTACATTAACAATATTATATTCCATTGGCAGGGTAAGAGCAAAAGTTGGCAAATAAGGACTTCTTATAATCCTGCCATCAATTTTTAATTAAGACCCTTTCAGTTGGAGATATAAATTTTTTGATGGGTAGATTGTATTGACTGCAAAATTCGCTTTCTCGCATACTCCAAAAAGTGGCCTTGATACGTTTGATAGTGGAAGAAATTGAACAGTTAAGATTTCCGATTAATAATAAGCGGCATGGCTGTTGCTATATGAACTGAGATTTGCATTTTATGCGGCAAACCCACCAATTACCTAGGCGAAAGTTCTGCTTAACCTTCAGCGGAAATATTGGCACAAATAGAAAGGGGATGTGGTTCTTTTAAATGCGAATTCGTTATCTTTTGTCAACAAATTGATCATTTATCACCTGTTAGCTTTCCACTTTCCAATAAGGTTTATTGGATATCATTATTTATTCATCGGAATGGAACATTGGGGTGAGAACAAGGCAAATTTTGAGAAGTTAAATTAATGAGTGCGAATTATAATGTTTGTAAATGAGTAAGAAGGAATTGCCGCTAGGAAGGCAATTTAGTGTTGCCAAAGGTGTTGGTCTTGCCCATTTTTTCTAAACCAAAATCTCTTTTGGGCACTTTCGTGCTTGTAAATTCATCTCATTTAAACCATTTTGTGAATTTCATCCAATTGTTTTTTCCTTTTGTTAGTTTTTACACAAATCCAGCTTTTAACAATATTTTTATTTCATTTGCTACTAAGATTGTGCCTTACATGGTGTAAGTTGGCGGCAATGCATTGTACTGTGGTTTAAACCATACCGAGTAGATCTTCTCATGGAATGAGTGGAATTAGTTGTATTGAACACCAGCCGCGTGGCTGCAAATGGCACACTGGGACGAAACTTATCCGACCACAAATCCAGTAGCTATCGTTGGGCACTCCAGATTTCTTAATCAAGGGAATGTAGAAAAGAATGCCTTTGGTATTGGAGACGCTTATACGATTGAGGATTTTAACTTGCTCTCTTTTCCTAAAATTGTTCGATTTTAGAGTTTAATGCCGTTTAATCAAGGTCTTCGAACATTGCGGAGTTCTTATCGTTGATTAAATTTTCACATTTCGTGTAATCTTAAACTTTTTATCATGGCTATATAATCGGTTCTTAACTTAGATTATCTCGCTGTTTATTTTTTCTCCACCATTTTGTCAAACTTCTTTCTTTCCATAGAGATATAACACGCATCACTGTAGTCGATACTTCAAGATGAGCATTTCTAAAAATCCTTTGCTTTGTTTATAGAAATTCTCATTTGAGAAAGATGTCCATCTTTTCTACTGACATTTTTAGTGTGTTATTAATTTAGGTTTCTGAACAAGTGTAAACCGCTTTCAAATCATGTTGGCTCTCTCATCTTTTGTGTGTGTGTGTGTGTGTGTGTGTATGTGTGTGTGTGTGTGTGTGTGTGTGTGTGTGTGTGTGTGTGTGTGTGTGTGTGTGTGTGTGTGAGATAGAGAGAGGAAGGTGAGGGGGTGGGGAGAGCGATTTCTGCACCCCCAAGATTACCGATAGAGTACTATTGTTAAAAGTGCCTTTTAAATACCTGAATTCTAAATCTATCTTGCAGAAGCTACATAAAGACATTGAAAAATTGTAGTAGAGCATGTGTACTTTATACAATTCAGGCAAAATTACTATTCTTAAGTTGAAATATATATATATATATATATATAATCTAATTGTTGAAATAACATTGCCCTTTTATTTTACACCTGTTGGAATCGGCCTATCATCTAAACAAATCCTTTGCTTTTAGTGTTTGGGGCTTGCCACATCGGGTCTTTTCTTTATTATCTCCCGGGACCGTGACCCGGAATTCCTCACTCCAGATTCCCTCGGTCTTCTCCTCAGACTCCTCCATGCACCCAACTGTAAGCTCGCTCTCTTTAAAACATGAGTGTGTGTGTGCGTGCGCACGTTTTATACTTGTCGAACCTATTAGTCCTCCTTTCTCATTGGGGAGAATGCCGACGGCGCAGCTATCTTTATGGCGGTTGCTGATTGGTGGAATTTCTGATTGGTTAGCTCCTCGCTAACACGCTTTTCACTTGCTTCAATTCTAGTTGTCGTTTTGTTGGCTCCATGTTTCCCTCACATCTCATGTGCTTTAATACAGGCAATATCTTGCTTCAGACGCCTGGATTACAAAATTTAGTCCTAATAAACGCATTGCCTAGTGTCGGTCTAATATATCACTATCTCTTAAAAGCAAATACTCCTCTTATTGGTAAATTTGATTGCTTAATATTGCAAGTAAGTAGCGCATTTATTTCAAGCTCCATTGAAAGGAGTTTTTTTATTTTCAAAATTAAATTTGGACACGGAATATATTCAGCAACTCATCTGATGGGGAACACGCGTTCCCTTTGCTTGATATGCTCTGCTGTGTCTCGACCTTGTGATCTACAGTGTGTATTTTGACGGTACAAGATTTCAGAAATTTAAGCCGATAGAATCACACTCCTTGTTAAATTATGGGCTATTATGTTTGAAGAGGTCGATTTTCGTTTAAAGTGAAATAGCAGTTTATAATACCAGGATGGAAAATCAAGTCTTGCCTATTGCTACAAAGTTCCAAACATTTCACTAATTGTGCCCCCCCCCCATTTTTTGTCAAAAATAACTTGGTATATATGGATACCACTGACAAACAAAGATCAGGAGTATTATTTCCTTTCATTCATCATCGGTGGTTAAAATCAAACAAATCTACCATTTTGGATATTGGTATAATATTAGGGAGGTTATTTAGTACCTATCATATGCCTTTTGGTGTTGTTGTTCTGTTATCAGGTTCCAAACACGACAATTAGCTGAAGCCGCTTTCCTGAAGTGTTAACGTCCGTTGTTAAGATAGTGTTGTCTGTTTCTTTAAGATCTATCCCCACTAGTTGATCTCACCTAGTATCCAAACTGTGTTGTAATTCCTCTTGCCAGGTTCCGAGCCTTTTGTCATATGAACTTGATGGGAATATCAGCTGTCATGTAATTGTGAGCTATTTGCTGCTGTACACTCTAAGCGTCCTTATATTTTTCCATCGCCAGTACCGTTTTTCTTCAAAAAAGGGTGGTAATAGCGTGCATGACCTCTAAGTTCATCTGAACTCAAAAAGGCTATTTTGGCAATAATTTCCTTTTGGCCTGGATTTACATTGTATTAGCTGCGCAACTGTAGTTTATAGCGCTTTCCTCTTTGCTTTTTATGCATGTTCAAAGAAATCATATACTATGCTAGGTGTTAAACATGAAACTTGTTTTCAGTAGGCAAAATAGTGGCCTACATCATCTACTCATCTTATAGATGTGATCAACCTCTCAAGGTCGTTTTCGCATGATCTCATTGTTCTAAAATAGGAGCGCTCATTGTATTTGAGCTCATTATTTTAGCAGCGATATTAAGTAATTCTTTTGCATATTCTTTCAAACAACTGCGAAATGTCAGATTAATTTATGAGAGGTATCGACGAACCTAATTGGCATATTTGTGCGCTTGTCTTCAATTTGAATTTTATTTTGCCGGAAACTTTATGTTAATGCATTGATTTTTGGCCCCATTAATAACTGCATTGACGTTGAAAAACTTTTCTCTCATGAGTTATTTCTTAAACCTGGCTGGCTTCCCCGCAATCTGGTCTTTGTTTATGGAAGTAGTATGCAACCTTTTGATTAGTTCTTGTCTCTAGCATTGTTGTAAAATCGTACTTATTTGTTGAATGAATAGTTGGGTGTATTGTTTGCATTACGTTTACTGTGTGCGCTAGAGAGAGAGAGAGCAGAATTGTTAAGGCGATCTGCACGTCGTAGCTCGATCCTTTATGGTACGATATTAGCGAATATTTACTTATTTAATTTGTATTTGGCTCTAATTATGCCGTTTGACATTAAGACGAATCTTGGTGCTCTCCTCACCTAAGCCGTTAAAAAACTGTAGTGCAGGAGCATATTCACCGTTTTCTTCTTTTCCCCTTCAGCAATGACTGACAATTCAGCTGCATCAGCCACCTCTAACTCAGACTCTAAGTACACCGTTGGTGCTGCTTCTCGACAGTCGCGGCTTAATAAAGAGGCTGCCAACATGCGCTCGCGCGTACAGGAACTCCTCGAGTCCGTGGCTGTCCTGCAACAAAAACGGCGCAATCGCAACACCTCCCCCGCCAAAAGTAGCAACGCTGAGCCACCACCACCAGCTGCCCTCACCTCCGGAATGGCTGCCCTCTTCGCTCCTCGAAAAGCACCCTCTAGTGTTGCCTCCCTCTTTTCTGGCGGCATTTCTAACTCCGCTGCTTCAGCACTTGTCACCAGGCATTTGAGAATGAATCGACAGTTGACGGTGAGTGTGTCGCTGAAATCGTCCTCATTAGTTTGTTTAACTTAATATACTAAAACGGGATACTACCCAGATAAACCATTCCTTCCCTCCAATAAGAGTACTCAAAGCTTCGTTAAGTTTAGATTCCAACATTTTTTAAGTGCTCCTAAAATCGATTTCAGTACTTAGTGCCTCAATATCTCTTATTTACTCTTTTATAGGCTCGCGACCTTGTGCTAGAGGCGATTCTCAATCTTGCGACACGTAGAGCTGCACCATGGTTCAGGACGGGTATGCGAACAGGTGGTGGATTGGATGGAATAGCGGATGCGACAATTGATGCTATGGATTACCTCAAAGATCTCTGTATATTCGACAGTGGCGGTAGAGGCAGATCTTTCAATAGTTTTGCTAATGTTAAAAATCCCACCGCGTTGGATGATTTCTCGCTAGATAATCTCAAGAAGGTCGGGCATTATACCAGAGCGCTGGAAAATGTAAGCTGTTATTTGAGTCAACATCACTGATAAACAGCGTATTCCAGAATAGATAAACGTTGTTACAAGGAGAAATGGGTTGTTTCTCTTCAAAATAACTCGCATACATATATGCAGAAGCTTTCAATCTGCTTGAAACCATGCACAAGAGATCCATTAAAACCTATAAGGAACAATCCTTGACTGCAGCACACCTTAGTGCATTACATTAATAATAAATTTGCTTGGAAAGACAACTATGGCAAACTTAACGATACGGTAACATATCTTCGGGTGTCAAGTGCAGCTTTTTTATGTTGGCAGTCACTTAGAGCCCATCGCTTACATCTTGAACCTATATTAAAAATGATCAATTTTTCTTTTTTTTGTGTAAAGATGACCTACAAGGACACAGACAATCAAACTCATCTAGTGCGATATCGTGATCGTATTCTCATTGATCGATTGGTTCAGTGTATGCGTCTCTGCGCCTCCCGTCTTCCGCGCAACCCCCCGCCCTCCATATCGTGGATGGAGCTCTTGAAAAAGATCGCCAAGGAAGAGGAAGAAGCTTTCACCGATCACCAAACCAACCAGCAACCTCCAACGTCGTCTACCAACGAAGGCATCAGCAGTGATGGTGATGCTGAAGACAAGACGTCGAAAGATAACTCCGCTGCAGCATCGGTAGAATTTCAACAAGATCAGCAAATCCTTCTCAACTGCCTGATCAGCATCTTTCGGTTGCTAGTTAATTTATCTCAGAGTGGTAAGTCGGTCATTACCTTGTTAATACTCGCCTGCTTACTATTAAACTGTTCTATCAAGCTTACTTATTACATTTATTCACGTAGTTTCTGACTTATTCATTCAGTACTCATCCTAGGCGGAAGAATGTGCTGCTTTCTTGAATTTAGGTATGCTTATCTGTCTAAGAAAAGACAGACGGTCGTCCCACTCTGGGGTATGATGTTCTGATCTCTCGTCCTTACTTCCATGCCAAGCATTTACAAATGACCTCATGTTTTTCCTTCCGTGAACATCAACGAATAGTTTGAAGCGTTTTGCTTTACAGAGTTTACACCAATCTCCCGAAGTTAGGACTTCAGAGGCAGGAATTTATGTTAACTGTTTTTGTCCTAACCTGATAAAACTACTTGGGGTCTTTGTCTTAATTGATCTGTTTAATCCAAGAATATGTATGCTTGTTTCTGGTTCACCCTGGTACTAGGTGACTCAGAATAAGTCTTAAGATAATTTAGCTGGGGGTGACCTCATCATAACTCAAAGGCAAAATCTTTGCTGAAGCTTGAATACGAAATTTTCAAGAGCAATTACCCTAGCTAACTCTTCAAACGCCATCCTTCTATCAAATTGTCATCCACGGGGGAACTTTTTCGCAGTCTTTAAGTGGCCTGCTTGTTCATTGGCCACTGCGTCGACACTAGCACATACGGGTTATTAAAGGTTTCTGAAACTCTTAAGTTTTTAATTGCATCCTTTAATCATAGTTTTCCTTCATTTCGCTTGCAGAATATGCCGCTGATCGTTTAGGTGGCTGCCCCGATTTCCTTGAATCCACCCTTGACTGTCTGTTCCACCTTCCCCACTCCCTGCCCACATCACGTCGTCTTGATCTCATCGTCCTCGTCCTCTGTCTTCTGGCAAATATCTGTGAACATTGTCCGGACAATCGCATTCGAATTGTCCACTTGGAGATCAAGAGCCCTGAGAGTTCAACTGGCGGTGATTCCAATGTCTGTACTAGTGCAAATCTCAACATGAGTCTTAACGACGTGGGCTATGAAGATGATGATGAAGGCGAACGTAATGGGTCGCCAAGATTTTCACTATCCTCTCGAGTTCCGACAGTCTCGGCACTGGATGAAGTAGTGAAATTGTTCCTGTTTAGGGAGAAAAGTTCTCTCATGCATGAATTTGAAAGGGTTGAGGGTAGAGAGGAGAAGACCGAGGAGGCAGATTCAACAACGAATATGACTACCACGGCAATGACGACGAGTGGTTTTCAAAGACCTAAACCACCGCCGTCGATCCTTGCTGCTGCTGCAGACGAGGAACCTGAAACTTTTGAAGAGGCAGGCCTCAAATGGCGACTGGTCGGGACGAATAAACATGAAAAGGGACTGGCACTGGGTGGTGCTGATTCTCGATCTCCTAGTAAGTCAGTAGTGGAGTACTACGAAGAGGTTTTTTGGCAAGATATTGAACCTTAAGACGTAGGGGAGGGGTGGGGGTGGGGGTGTGAAATGATGTTCTCATGGTGATATTTTTCCAAGTCAGAGCTAATGTGGGTACTCTCGGGTAAATACAAATATGCAGTTATAGTGGTGGTGATAAAGTAGGGCTAATTTCTTCGATTTAGCTATTCCTATGGTTCCAACTAATTTGCCCTTTGACATATTCCTTTTCAAAAAGAATTATTTTCATAAAGGTTACTCATGATAGGAAACTATTTGAATCTGGCTAATGCGTGGCAAGATTTGAGCTTCTCGCCTTGAGGGTTCTGGGATATCGTCCCTGTAATCTATGTAAGTGTTAAACAACGCTTTCCATTTTGACTTGGCCCCTATATTTGAGTTATTTTCAAAGGACTTGGCTTATCGCTTCGGCTAAAACCCGAACGTGATAATGACAGCCATGAGCAAACTGACTCAAACCAAGTCCTGATTGAATATCGTCTTGAGGTCATGGACTTTCTAACGTTATCTTTCATCCAAATAGTCTCTATGTGTCCCTTTGTGTGATTTACTAGTGGTCTCTTTCAATTGGTTCCCTCAGAAAGTTTTTACAACCTAAACCAGCTTCTTAGGTCTCATGATGCATTGGTTGATATTCTCAAATGATTCTTGGGATAGAAAGATGGCTGTCCTCAACAAAATAAACTCGATATTTAACTAATAATCTTCGAATTCCTTTATAATATCGTTCTCCCTTAAAAAGGACAATGAATTTAGCTGTGAAGCACATGGGCCAATTTTTAGTGATTCGGCCTCCTTAATGTGTGAATTTAAAACCTTTGTATTTCCAGTACGTTGTACTGTTTATACGCCCCAACAGCCATCTTAACCTTACGTTTTTTCCACGTGTTTTAGGGACCAAGCGCCTACGAATGCGCGCGAAACGAAGGAAGCGGAGACTAGCTCTGCTCAAACGAGCTGGCGGCGACAACGATACCAAACGTCCAAGACTTGAAAGCGGAGAGTACTCCTCTGAAGAAGAGGAGGAAGATGAGGAAGAGGAAATTGAGGAGGATGAAGATGAAATGTGCAGCGATGAGGATGATGCTAGTGAAGGTATGTGTGGCATGCAACCGAAATTTGATACTTTAATTAAATATTACTTTGGGAGTACATCGGCAATTCAACATGGAAATCTGAAGGTGCTACCATTTATATGCTAATAATCCCGTCTCGAAAATTGTAGTTCGGAGGTTTGACTACAGCACTGTATTATTTACTACTGATGGAACGTATTTAAGTAGTTTAAATCTGGTCTTACGTCTGGTACAAAGGTACAACTTTGTTACTTTTTTAAATTAATTGGTTATTATCATGTTTTATTATGGCCGATGGAATTGTTTTATTAATATTTATTTCAAATGGCAGGCGTTATGATAGGTATCATTACCCTCTTAGTTGACTTCGGGCTTCACAGAAAAGAAGAGGAAAATCAAATTCTTTCACAAACTTTCGTCTATTATTTGCAATTTATGAATTGGAAGAAGAAGGAGGAAACTTATTAAAATGACAGTATTTAGGCATGTTCTAACAATTTCATTTTACTTGGCTTGGTGTTGTTTATGTGGAGTGGGTAACACAAAGCGTTTGCAATATCTCCAAGTAGAAATATTGGAAGTGTCCTTTAGCCATTTTTTCCTGTGGTGATATGATATTTGCTACTTTACTTTCCATTATGGCTTCATTTTTTGGGTCCGTTTGTCTAAAGCGTCGTATCGGACAGGGTGTATTAGGAGGGAGCAGAATGTAGTCATGGAATTTCGATCTTGAGACTAATATGTTTACAAGCAGTTGAGGTTAGTTCCTTGGTGGCCTTAAATTTGTAGATCCTTTAAAGAGCATTCCGCTCAGTTGGCCATTGACTTTATAAAAGCGATTGAGTGGAAATCTCCGTTGACGACATTTTTCAGCCATGTACGTTTTTTTGCAATCTTGAGTGTCTTCTGAAAGCATAACAAGGAGTTCATACAATGCAGAGGAGGAAGAAGAGTTGGGCACGGTGGTTGGATGGTGGGATTAATAATGGCTAGTTCAAGCATTAACTAACGCGCAATCTTTTTCACATTTGTATAGATCAGTTCATAAAATCATGATGATCGTTCAAAGACTCTTTTCTATTAATTTAAACCTATGGGGTTTTGGTATTTTATGTCCTGTAAAATGGACAATTTCTTTTTGCGTCATTAATTTTGCATTTCTGAGTCATATTTTTTCATTAATAATGTAATTACCCATTTCAGGCAGCGAAAATGAAGATTTTGATGAAGACGATGAAATGTGCGGTGGAGCTGACGTTGAATTCGTCACAGAAACTCAAGAAGAGAAAGACAAGCTGGAAGAACGCATGTCCTCCGCAAATCAGCACATGGAAGATTCCGTTGTAGCTGCGTATGCTGGTAAGTCTTCTTGGAAATCTTCTGTATGTGGGAAAGAGCTTTAACAGTGACGTTAAAAGTTAATTTAGTCCATTTGTTTGTATGAGAATAGGAAAAATTAATTTAACTGTTGTTCTGCTAGGCTGTTATGACTCTCATCACCACATGATAGAAAAACGCTGAGATTGTGGGTGCATACTTAAGTGTAGAGGACGGAACAAAGTATCAGATTAGGAGCTAGTACACTGCACTGAATAAGTCGCTAGGCAAAATCTAGCCATTTTCATCTAACGTAATGGGCCATGTTAGCTCTGTGTTTACCAAGTTCAGTTATGAATGTTTGTATCGTTTCCCAAGCAGCACACCTTTCGAGGGGTAGCCTTGTGCTATCGATTAATGCATTTTTAATTTATTTTATGTTTTCTATCTATATAGCTCTTGTCCTCGGTTGCATCCTTCAATCAAGTCCCCGTTATGCCGAACGAATACGTTCCCGCCTGCCCGAGCCGGGTAAATTCCGTCCACTGGCCATAATGTTAGCCAAACTTGCCTCATTCCTTTCCATCACTCGTGGAGCCGAAGTGGATGGTTACGGGTCCATTATGCGCATCGTGCGCATCCTGGAAGCCCAAGACCAGCCCCAACAACCTTCCACATCGACAAATAGCTCACCAACCAGATCCTTACGTTCAATTACCCCTCCTGTGACAAGGTCTGCGCGTTCTCGTTTTGAGATTTAATACATCAATCAGGTTCCTTTTGAGGGAGGGGGAAAACTACTCTTGTGCGTTTGTTTGCGGGTTCTGTGTGTGTATTTTTACAAGCACAGCGTGTGTATTATTCATGTCTATCGCCCTTCCGCCCCCCCTCCCTTTATCGTCCTGTTCTCCCTCCGTTCCCCGTTTTCCTTTCCAACTTATTCACTCGTTGCATTTCTATACTTTCTCCCTCTGTTCTTCTATGACCTTTGTGTTTATGTATACTCCCTTGACCTGCACTGTATTTCTGTCTCCACTCTACATGTTTGGAATGAAGGATATTGAATATTTGCTAATGTATAACTATGCTACTGCTAAACCCCTCACGTTCTTTAGTTAATAGATCTGGTGATTATTTGGTTGATTTAACTGATTGAGCGGCCAATGTGAAAGCGATATTAATTGGTACTTTTTGGTCTGTAGAAATTTAACTTGGCGATCTTAGGCTGTTTAATTTCAAAATTGAAGTATCATTGGCTCACACTAGTGGTGGAGTGTTTGTTGATTTTTGTATTGATCCATACTGTTTTACAGCCGTTCTTTTAAGTTGTGGGCTGGTGCACTAATCGTGAAGTGGATTATAAGTCTCCTAAGTTTTGTAGAAAAGAAGAATTTTTGTTTTTGGCGACGTGGGAATTGTTTGAATCATTAAAATATTTAGACCGTACAATTAAAAAATTCCTATCATGGATACGATCTATGCGAAAGAATCTATAATTTTTTAACATAACATTTTCGATCCTGATTCGAAAACTACAAGGTCCGTCGATTCTCGCTTTGTACCACCTTTTCCCAAAGGATCCACACAGCTTGGGTTACAAGAAAGCTTTCTAATTGGTTTAAATTGTATAGATGTGGAAGCGGTCCAGTAATAGGTGTCGATTTTCAAGAACGAAGGCTATCCTTTCATTTCTGTAACCCCATATTTCAAAATCCAAATCGGATGGAAGAGGGTCTTCCCATATATTTACTTGAAACAAGGTTGGTGATGTCATTATGTATTTAGATCTACTAATTGGGAAAAGGTAAGAAAGAAAGTTGACTCCCCACTTCATTTAAAGGAAAAGGGTTCAATAGTGTTGGCGTGCGTCCACGAGCTCTGAAGGTGGAATAGAACATAACATTCAATCTCGTACTTTTGTAGTTAGTCATCTATTTTCTCTTACTAAATCTGTAGGAACGGAGTTTTTAATTTCACCCACTATATATTTTTCAACCTAACTTCTAACGGTAGTAAATATCTTAGACCAAAGAAGTATTGAGGACCGATCTCCACTAGAGATGGGAAAAAATTTCCTTTTAGCGACAACATTTTCACATTTTTGTTTACATTTTCACCCAATTTATGTACGATTTGAAGTAATGTTTAATGTCAAAATACAATTTGGAAGTGAATTAACACCAATTCTATCCAAACGACCGAAATTAAGAAAACTTTGTGTTTCAATTAATACATGATGCGTGTGCAAGATGGCGTTTGCACCAATTTCGCTCAATGAGGCACAGTTTTGAAGCCAGGAAGGCACAACAAACCTGCTTCAAGAGGGGGGGGGTATATTTATAGCAGTTAATTCATAGCAGTTCATTAGCTGTCTTCTTGATTCCCCGTATCTCTGGCTTTCCGTCGTTGCCTTTAGGGCTGGACACCGAATCAGGTGGGTCTTCTCCATTTCCACCTGTAGGTTACATAGGGGGCATGTGGGTTAAGTGTATACTTCCAAACTGTGAAGGTGTTTTGCCAAGCATTCGTGTCCGGTACGTAGTCTAAATTCAGCAACGGCTTCGATTCTTGGCCAGTCGGGTATGTCGGAGAGTGCCACTGTCCACTGTTTCTTCCTTGTTCGAGCTTTAAGTTCGTTGCACTTTGAGGTCTTGAATTCTCTCCTGACATTAACATTAATGTAGAAAGAGCGATAATGGAAAATATGAGTTGACAGCTGAAACAGAGCTGAAGTTCCTTTTAGATGCTCACATTAAAACTTGATTGCGTCTTGATTAGCTAATGGCTAAGAAGAACATTTCCTTACGGCGGATGCTGAATAACTCGGAAGATGGAGTCTGATCTTAACATGTGATATATACCACTTGCCTAACGATTCTCCATATTTGAGTTAAGCCTCACAATTGGTTGCATAACATTAAGGCAATGATCTTAAATTAATAAGAATTTCTATTTGGTTTATCATCTATCCATTTTTTCTCTTTGAATGGCCGCAACTAATAGTGCCTATAAGCACTTATTTTCCACTCAATTATTTTGTGATTGAATAATGTCGTCTCAAGATTTTCTCCCATCCAATTATGTATTGAAATTGTGCACCACTATTAGGAAATAGCTAGAAAGTGAGACAAAGAGTTTGGAAATGGTTCATTTGGGGTTGGGGTGGGGAGGGGGGTTATAAAGTGGGTATATGTGGCAGGAGTGCAAGTGACTTGATTAAAAAGAGTGCCTTGTTGCAAGATGCCCAATTGCCGAAGGGGTCACGAGTGCTTTAGAAGCCCAGCCAAGATAGCCTAGCCGTTGGCTTAATAGGGTGTTCCCACAGATAATAAGGCATTCGTCACATATAAAGCCAATTTTGGTTTTCAATCAACGTATAAAATGGAAGAAGATCGAGGCAAAATCTGTAATATTCAATGTATTCAGTGAAAAGTAAAATATACTAGCAATATCTGAGCATGGGAATGTATAACTTTCATTGCAATGTTTGTTCATAAGTGAGAAAGCAAATGAACTCTCTTTCATGAAACTGATGGATTCTTCTAACTCATGTTGCGAGTCCCAATGCCTTCAGCTACTCACGTACTTTTACTCCAAATTGCTTTTTACATCGATTTACCTCAGCAAGAATTTCTTCCAGTCAATATTTCAGTTTTATCTCGATTGCTTTCCGAGGAGGCTGAATTTTAAAAATTGGATGGTGTCAACACTCCTGTCTTAATTGTCACGGAGGTGGGAGTGCAAGCAAAGATTGACATCTGATATAAATAAGTTCACGAAATTTTCGTTACTTGTGATCGTTAAACCACTAAAGGGATTCTTTACTAAATCGAGCCAATGAGATGAAAGCCGAAATTCGAAAAATATTGGCGATGAAAATTGTCAACCAAGAGAATTCTGTCTACTCCATCTTACTGTGCATAAATGTGGGGTACATATGCACTTTAAAATTAACAATAAGCGGATGTGAACGCTTGGACCGGTCACCATGGCGATGTCGATAATCGATTTGATGATATTAACGGGTGGAATTCCTCGTTATTTGGTATTCATCAATGTCGATTTGTTGGAGGCAAATTAGGGAAACATTTCACGACAGCAGGTTTGTAAATCCGCTCCATGCTACATTTTTCGACATTTAGATTTCGTATGGGATCATCTATGTTTGTGCTGCCATATTTTAGAAATAAATTGAAGAAATTTCAGGTCTATTTTTAAATTTCCACACTGCACAACAGCATCCTCGTGTTTCTATCTCTGTTCACAGTGTTTGATACGTGCTTTGGAATTATGACCGTCCCAATGCTAGCAGAAGTCAATTGTCTACAAAAAATGTCCTATGGAATTATTTAACCCTCTTTAAAGCCCTTAGGACTGAATGGTCTTCTTTCAAAATAGGCTTCATTGGTACTAAACTTGTAACAGAAGGTATTATTGCCGTCTGAAACATGTTCAATGCGCCTCCAGCCTTCGCCTGATGCCACCAGAACTAATCACTTTGGTGGCATCCGTCTGCTGTGAGACATGTGTGAGTGCGGTTGGGTGCATTTTTCAAAAAAATAAATCGGGCTTTAAAGGGTTAAATTAGTTTCATTTGACCTGTCAGATACCCTCAATGTGAGAACTGGTTTTCCATGCGCCAAATTAAAATACTCCAACTTGCTACATCATGTACTCAATTATCAATTAGCAGGTTCCACATTTGTGTACCTGGGTGAACGTTTACCTTGACTGCACTTTTGCACTTACCAGATAGTCAACCAATTCATTAGTTAAAATCGGTCAACCTTTAATGAAATTTAGGTTAACATAAAGGTCCAACTATTTGCCCTCTTCCTCCTGGCCTGAACGACGACAAAAAATAAGGTGACAAAGCAGCAAATATTTGAAATCGCAGATCAATTA